AGGGAAAGAGCCCCAGGAATATCATATTTTAAACCAATTCCAAAGGACAGTTAGCGAATTTCTGAGGGTATTCATGTAGCAGCAGCAGGAACAGCATGTTCAAAGGCTGAGACCAAATATTTATGGCAAAGAAAAATTACATAAATGCTACTATTGGATGAAAATGTGTAAATTTTTACACATTCAATAAATTATTAGATCACAATCCCGACAATAAAAAATTATTAGCAAATAAATGAGAAGCCATTCACAAAAAAATATATTTGGGTATTAAAGACAACAAGAATCTTTTTATACTGGGTCAGTTTTTCAGTACTGAAATGAACCCTGAAAGTGTTACAGTATCAGAAGATAAAGAGAATTCTTTCCTGGGATTTTTGTAAAGTGGTTCATTTCCTCAACAATATTTTGGAGTATTTACTGCACATAAAACATTGTACTGGCTAATGGAGTAAATATAAAAATAAAGTATGGGCTTTGCCTTCCCGTGACTTTTATTAATTAGTAGGTGAGGCAGTCTTGTAAAGTACTACCCATATTACAGAGAACACAATGAGAGTTAAGGAGAGGAACCAATAGATTTTGGAGCATAAAAATCTCTGTAATGAAAAAAAAATCTCTGTAGTGAAGTTATATTACTTTTGAGAATTTTTAAATTATTATCTGAGAGAAGGGAAAGCTTAACTGAGAAGAGAAAAAAACTGGACACTTAAAATAAGTAGAACTTTCACAAGCAAGAAAAGGGGATGGACCTCCGATGCTATAGGAACAGCCTGGTTATGATGTCATCAACTGTTCCAGAGAAATCTGAAAACCTGATGTGGGGTGGCTAAGGTGAGAAGATACTTAGCACTCACTCCCTCAAGCCAAGCACCTCTCCTTCAGGATGCCTTCCTTCACATACGAGTTCTGCTTAAAGTCCTCCGACTCATTCTGAACAGTTGTTCTCACTTAAGTAGCTCCCATAACACTTCATAATCATCTGTTACTTGTGTATCTCCCTCTTTAAACTCCCTCAAACATCTTGCTGTTGGTCCCAAAAGCTCAAACAGTACTCCAAGCACTCAATGTTGATTGAAGACATGATAAATATCTATTAAAGAAATGCATAAGTAGTAATTACACCTATTCGTGTCTTTTACAGCATATTTGCAAAAATATCTCCCAGGCTAAAGTCATTTCTCAGGTAACAGTGGTCCACAGGCAATACTTAACATCTACTGCAATACTGAAAAAGAATTCCATTCTGAAGTGACCACCAGGAACCTAACACGTGCCAGGCTAACTGGATCACTGCCTTCAACTGCAGCAAAGGGTGTTAGCTGCCCTCCGCTATGATTAGAGCATACTGATGTTCTAGAGTAATCTGCTGGGAATGCTAATAACCACCACCAATATACTAAGCACACTGCATGCTCTGTACTCAACAAAGTGATAGATCTTTATTCATTTGCACTCCTTCATACTTGTTTACAGTTTTAGTTTGTGTGATGCTTGGTGATGCCTACAATTATCCACTGTATAGAAATTAAACTCCTGGACAATATTCATATTTTTTTATTCCACTTTTAAAATCAATAAGTCCTTTTAGAAGCCCCCTTTCTTCTAATACTACTTTTCTTCCCAAAAAGTACATTTATATTCAGCATGACCAACCAAGAACTGAGTACACACCTCAAGATCATCTGATCAACTTACTCTTTGGGCCTTTTTAATATGTATTTTTTTCTACCATCTCCTAAGTTTCCAATTTAACTTGAAAAGCATAGAAAATAAGTTAGTCAGCTAATTCAAGCCAGGTTCTGCACTAAGTGTGTAGGAACAAACACACAAGATTTACCCTGTAAATCTAACAGTTACAGCAGAACAGCTGAATGTAAGCATTAAGTCAATCCTTGTTTTACAAATAAAAAAGTTTCATGGGCCTGTTTGAAAGGAGGGTCGGGGAGAGAAGCTCGAAGTAGGAAAGTGTGTAGCCGACCTGGGGGGAAACAATGGGAGAGGTAATAATGCTTACGTGGGTAACTATCACCGGATCCCAACCTATTCAAAAGTCCTTCCCATATGAGGCCCTGCAGCATCTCCCCTACCCTAGATAAAACCAATCCCAGAAGGAAAAAAATCACGACTTAAAACACGCCATTCGGTGGAGCTCAGGCGTCCTGTAATTTTCGCCAAATGAGCCTCCTCTGAACGCCAGCCTGGCACCACTGACGAGAAACTAACATATGGAAGTGAGTGCCAACTGGCTGCTATCCCGGCTGGAACGATAAAAATGACGGCCCGGCATAACCCTGCCACCTACCTTCGTCGTAGTTATAGCCTCGGACATTCCGATGCCTGGCCATGACAGCGGAAAGGGCGTTCGCCACAGCCGCTTACAAACTCCCAGCTCAGATACTGACAAGGCGCCAACTGCGGCCTGGCGATTACCTATACGCCATCTTGGCTTCCGGCAGGCCTCAGCGCTGAGCGCCTGCGCACGCAGGACGTCTTCTCTGAGTACGGCAACCTCTCAGGGTCATTCGCCTCTCTGAGAACGCATGCGCACTCATGCTCACGGGAGGGGTGAGTTTCGGCGAGGCCGCGCCCACGGATAAATTGACTGATGGGGCTTTCGCCGGAGACGAATTACACCGCTTATAATTTGTTAGTTTGGACTTAATATTTCGAGTCGGGATCCTTGACCTACGCCGGCGTTCCAGATTATTTTCCAAATTTGGTTTCTGATAATCTAGTGAAAAAGCTGAGTGTGTGCTCAGTAAGAGCACGAACCTTGTCTTATCCAGCTTTCATCTTTGCGGCCTACTTAGGCGCTAATGGGCATTAACAAACTTGTATACGTTTGGTATAAGAATTAGTCTAAGTTTTAAAGGCAAAAAAAAGGCTCTTCATAAACGGGTATATTTTCATTGAGAACCTGGCTACAATAGGTCACCATGCATTTGTGTATGCAATTCGTGGTTTCATGTATGTGCTCCATCCTGCATTAATACCTCTAGTAAACACCTGTCTGCCTTTAGCCATGTAAATGATTATTATCAGATCATAGAGGATTCAGTGAACATTCATTCAACACAGTAACATGCTAAGATTACTAAATATAGCTTCTTAGATACTGGCCTTAAATGGTGATGAATGTTGTTAATGAATAAATCTATAACCTATTATTAAGTGACATTTCTTAGGTCACAAAGTGAATGATGCTATGTAAAAAATCAACCTCCTCATTTTACTGAAGAAACTACACTTTAGTTTTACTTTTATATTTTTGAAGTGGTGATATATCAAATTCTAGAAATAAAAGCTTACTTAGCTTTTTATTATCCATAATGGAAAAAAATAATGATACAAATTCAACTCATATTTGTAAGTGGCTTGAATGGTAACTTACACATGTGTTTGAATGTGTCTAGCCACCAAATGTTTGTTTTTAACTATCATTGCTGTTCAATGTAACTCCAAGACAAAATTTTACACAAAAATAGTTGCTAATTTCATATGGCTTAAGTGTTTACACTTTTAGGTAATGTTTATGTTGTAGCCTGTTTCTTCGTCTGTAAAATGGAGATAGTATGTAACGTACAGAGTTGTGAATAATTATCCTTGTAGAAGGATTTCACACAGACAAGACAAAGGTTTGGGCTATGGGTTGTAAATTGTGACTAGGAAAAGTATTCTGGGGGCAAGGGAGGGGCAGCAAAACTAGTGGAAGATAAGGGATGTTTCAGTAAGTTTGTACAAACCCATTTCCGCATCAATTCCTAGTTTCTGTTGATAAGGATGGTATCTTATCTGTCTTCTGGTATAGGAAGGACAGTTTTCTCATAGGAAATTTTATGACCTGCTTTTAGGTGGAAAGGAAAAGGCCTGAGAGCCCTTCTTGGTGTTTCTCAAGTTACTTCAATTCAAAATAATCAATATACCAAAGCATATTTTTGGGTGACATGCCCTGAACTCCTTCAGTACTCAGTAAATTCTAGTTCTCTACCCCACTAATTGGAAAGCTTTATGTTTGTTTCTCTAGCACCCTAATGTCTGGCACTTTGAATGTTTGCTAAATAAATTAATGAATTTGAAAAGATAGATATAATATATAATAGATATAATATCTTGCTATGAGATATTTAACGAATACCACAAACAACTATACAACTAATTTTAATATCAATTTTTTCAAAAATTATAAGTGAAAGCATAACTACCTTATAAAGTTTTTAACACCTTTATTGAAGAATCATTGACAAGGAATAAACTGCACATATTTAAAGTATATAATTTGATGAGCTTTGACATATATATTCACCAGCGAAACCATCAACCCAACCGAGATAATGAACTTATCCAAATTTGCAAAATTTCCTCAAGTATCTTTATTATCTCTCCCTCCTGCACCTCGCTGCCTCCTCACCCTGGCCTTAGGCAAAAACTGATCACCTTTCTGACGCTATAGATATAGGTTGTATTTTATAAAATTTTATATAGAGGAAGTCATATAATATGTATTATTTTCTTCTCTGGCTTCATTCACTCAGCATAGGAATTTTGAGATTCATCCATGTAGGTGCTTGAATCATGTACAACTCTTTGTATGGACATAAACTTATTTATCCTGGGTCAATACCTAGGAGCAGAATGGTTGGATTATCAATATGATGTTATCTTTAGTTTTTTGAGAAACTGCCAAACTGTTTTCCAAAGTGGTTGCAATATTTTACATTCCTACCAGCAACATAGCTCCATTTTCTTCACAACCTTGCCAGCAGTTGGTATGGTCTAAAGATGTTATGTGTGTTTGACATTTCTGTATCCTCTTTGGTAAAGTGTCTGTTTGAATCTTTTTTCAATTTTTAATATCAATATTAATTTTACTTTGGAGAGTTCTTTTTATATCCTGGATACAATTTCTTTGATATATAATTTGGACATACCTCTTTCAATTCGTAACTGGCCTTTTCATTCTCTTAATAGTGTCTTTCAAATAGGAGGAGTTAGTTTTGAGGAAGTTCAATTTATCAATTTTTTTAAATAATGAATTGTGCTATTGATTTCATACATAAGAAACCTTTGCTTAACCCAAGGTTACAAAAATTTTCTCCTATTTTTAAATAAGTGTTATAGTGTTAGGTTCTACATTTAGATTTATGATCTGTTTTCAGTTGATTTTTGTATAATAATGTAAGGTTTGGATCAAAGATTTTTTTTATATGTATTTTCAATGGTTCCAGCACCATTGTTGAAAAGAAGGTCCTTTCTCCACTGAATTACATCTGCATATTTATCAAAAATCTGTTATTCATATATGTGTGGTCTATTTCTGGACTCTCCATTATGTTCCATTGATCTACTGATCTTTTGATCTAGCTTGACACCAATACCATGCTGTCATGATTATTGTAGCTTCAAAAACCTTAAAATCAGGTAATGTTAATCCTCCAAATTTCATCTCCTTTTTCAAAATTTTCTTAGCTATTTTAGGTCCCTGGCATTTCCATATGAATTTTAAAATGAGGTTATCAATTACTACAAATATTCTGGCTGGGACTCTAATATTTTGTTGAATCTATAGATCAATTTGGGGAAAATTGACATTTTAAACATGCAGTCTTTCAACACATGCACATCATATGTCTAATTTCTTTCAATAATGCTTTCTGGTTTTCAATGACTTGTTTGCACAACTTTTGAAGATTTAATTCTAATTATTCCATAATATTTTTATTCTATTGTGAATAATATATTTTTAATATCAAGGTAAATATATATAATTAAACTATTAAAATTAATAAGTTGTTTAGCACCATCAATACCCACAAAATATATATAAGAAAAAACAGTAGGAAAATAAAAATTAAAAATAAATTAGCTATATTAGCATAAAAAATATCAAATACCTAGGATGAATATAGGAAAAATGGGTAAGCCCTAAACTGAAACTAGAAAACATTGCTGAGAAAAATAAAATAACATTAAATGGAAAAATATACAATGTCCATGGATTGGAAGAGTCACTATTATTATGTTAAATGGAAGACATGTCAATTCCTCCCAAGTTAATCTATATTTGATATTATCCTAGTCAAATACTACAAGTTTTTTGATGGAAATTGACATATTCTGTAATAAAAATGGAGCTGCAAAGATCCTAGAATAGCCAAGACAATCTCAGAAAAGAATCAAGTTGGAGGACTTACACTATCACTAAGACTTGCTTTAATGCCACAGTAAGTACAACAGTGTGATACTGACAAGGATAGACAAATATACTATTGAAACACTGTGAAGAAAGAAATCGTCACATGAGTGATCATCTAATTTACAACTGAGATACCACTGCAGTTTAGAAAGGAAGAGGATAGTCTTGTCAATAAGTTGTTTCATCACAACTGTAGAAAAAATAAAACAAACATAAGAGAATATCTTTAGAGTGTGAAGGGGGGCAAAGATTTTTAATCAGGGCACAGAAAGCACTAACCATAAAAGAAAAGATTCATAAAGTGAACTTTATTAAAATTAAGAACTTCTGTTCATCAAAAGACAACATTCAGAAAGTAAAAAGGCAAGTTGCAGCCTAGGAGAAAATACTTGCAGCAAATATATCTCACAAAGAACTCATATCTATAATATACAAAGAAGCCTATGCACACCCCACCCCAAAACCCCAACAATTTAAAAATGAGTAGAAGTCCCAAAGAGGCACTTCACAAAAAAATAATATCTGTAATGGGCAATGAGCATCCTCAACGTCATCCATCATCAAAAAATGCAAATAAAATCATAATGGGTGTACCCCTACCAGAATGACTAAAATTAGAAGCACTGACAATAGTAAGTGTTGGCGAGGATGTGGAGCAGTTGGAAGTCTCGTAGCTAGTGCATGTGCAAATTGGTATAACCACTTTGAAAACTTTCGGCAGCATTGCCAAATACTAAACATTTGTATGCCTTGTGACCCAGAAATGCCACGTCTAAGTACAGACTCCACAAAAATCAGTGCTTGTGTACAAGAATGTTTATAACAATTTTATTCATAATAGCCCCAAAATGTAAACAAACCAAATGTTTTCAACAGTAGACTAGGTTAATGAAATGTGACATATCCATTTAGTCGGAAAATACACAGCACTGAAAAACAGCAAGGGAGATTTTATACATATGTAAAATTTTATTGTGCTGTATGTTTAAGATATCTGCACCTTTCAGTACATAAGTTATACCTCTATAAAAAAAAACTAAATAAAAAGAAAAATGGGGGGGGGAAATCCTTGGTATATTCAAGCCTATCTTTGATATAGAATAAGAGACTATATATATCATACAGTTTTCAAATGTTTCCTTTATACCCTCTTAGTGTCCAATTTTTAAGATATATATAAAAACTAAGAACTTTGATATATCTGGGTTAGAATTCATTTGGTAACATATCAATATTTCCCGGAGTGCAGTTTGTTTTCTGTTTTCTATTCTAAACCAATCAATTTAGACTGAAATTTAGAATTTTCTATTGTTGCTGAAACAACACTACTTTGGCAGCT